CCCTCAGTTACTATTTGCAGTGTTGCAGCTGTGAGCTTCTGATACAGACTCTGACATGCATCACTGGTTCACTGAGTCCACTTTCAGAGGTGGAAAATAAAATATTTATTCATTCCTGATCACATCATTAAGAAGATTTTAAATTAAGTAACACTGTTTAGAATCTGTAACATATAATGCTTGTCTCACAACATTTCATGAAAAGGCTTTAAATATGATTAATAAAATGTTAATATTAATTCTACAGTTGGCCAAAAAGCCACAAAGGGAGGCAAGAGAACATGTGGTGTTCTTTGATAATACTTTGAGTTAGATTTTTACAGTATTAATTACTTGAGAAAACAAGACTGGATGGACTTAGAGGTTCAAAATTCAAGTCTTAGTCAAAACCAAATATTGAACCCAGACCCTGTACACAGTTTTTAACTTAAATAAAAATCACATACTTTGATTTGAATCAAACAATGATTGCATTTCATGCATGAAAATGTTGTTTTATCAGTTTCCTACCACAGGGTTGTAATCTGGTGTTAAAGTTGTATTTGGGAGGTGGGAAATTCAGCTGTAGTGGGGCAGCAGAGACTCAGCTACATTTTGCAATTTATAAGACCATGTTACATTCATAATGGCAGTTTTCCAACTCCTCACCAGTATAAAGCTGGATTTTAGTTGGTATCTTTATCTTTTGTTTCAAAGGTCAATGACGATCGCTGACTTTGCACACAAATAAACTTTTAAAAGCTTCTCCCCAAGCACAAAACAAAAGCGATTTTTCATAAGCTGTGATTTTATTTTGTGTTTTTACTTTTTTTACACCATATTTTTAAAGTCAACATGGATAATATTAGCTGATAAACTTAGCATGCACATCATTAGAAAGTCAAATGTTTGCAGAAATATCGCAACAGCAGAAACATGTAGCTTCATCAAACTATAAAACACATCATATGCAGACAGGAAGTGTTGCTGAAGCTCTACTCTGAGCAGTGGTCAGGGTCCAGGGTTTGAGTGACGGGGCTCTGTCCACTCAGACTGGCCTCACAGCTCACTGAGCCCGCCTTCCTCC